AGCAGACCCCAGCCCTTAATTGCTGTTGTGCCTACATTCTCTACAGCACAATTAGCAGATCATAAGTCCTGGTCTGCTCTATATTGTCTTGACCAAGATCCTTCATGATCTTGCTCCAGACAAGGCCATGTCCATCCCCCACCCCCACCCACGCCAGCACCCTGAACTCCCCACAGGCTGGTATACACCTCTGGTCTTCCTTCGGGTTAGTCTTTCTGATCGTAATAATCCGGCCCAGGGAACATCTGCCTACAGACTCATCAGTAACCTCTGGGAAGTCATTTCTCCCTATCATCATGAACCCAGATAGATCTCCATCAGACAGACATGCCCCTGTGCTGCATTGCTTTGCCATCAGCCTCTCCTCGCACTGGAGGACCAGCTCCTTGAGGGCAGGTTCTGTTGTCCACAATGCCTGACACGTAGTGTCACAGGTACTTAATGGCCATTAAACGAGCGGTGCAGCTTGGTGTGTTGCTCTTCTGTCAGTGGGCCCGTTCAGTCTCTTGTTCATTTAACAGTTCGTGAGTGGACGACATGCCAGTCACTGTGCTTGGTGCTAAGGGGACGCTGGTGAACACTGGCATGCTTCTTTCCTTGATGGCCCTTAAAGTCCCTTTAGAGAGGGAGATTTTAAACAAATAATCGACCAACAAGTTAAGTAACTGATCACCATTGTGATACGCGCTCTGATGAAGCAGTGGAAGTTATGAGAGAGAGCAAACAGGAAGCCGGGAGTTGATCTGGGAGTTTAGAGGATTCTTTCTGAGGAGGTGCTGTCTAACCTGAGTATTTACTTCTCCATGGGCCTTGCCTCCCTACACCTCACTGTGAAGCTCTGTGGGCAGGAACCTCTTCATATGCCCTTTTGTGCCCTACCCCACAGATGGGGCTCTCCCATCCTGTATGCTGCTCCCCTCCAGGTGTCAGCCTTGTTGTGCACGGTAAAGAAGCAGAGGAGCCAGTGCATCATCGTGGTGAGAGTGAGGGGGGGTCTGGAGACTGCCCTGTCAGTGGGAATGTGTTTCCATTGCAGATTGTCACTCTGTGGTCTTTTATCTGTTGTTGCGTGGAGTGTGGAGGCCTTAAGGAGGTGAGATGAAAGGAAAGTCACTGCCCTCATGAGTCCTGACTGGCTAGTAAGAGCCTGCTGTCATTGTGAGGCTGGACTGTAGCAGCTTCCTTTGGATTCCACTCTTGCACGTCTGTCTGTGGGCATAACAGTTCCTCCTTCAGAGCCAGCTAGGTTCCACCAGGCGCAGGGCGTGGCAGCAGAGGGTGGGGAGGCTTGACTGCATCATTATCTCCAATGTCCCTCGACCCCTGGTGGCTGCTCGTAATGGACACGGCTCCGATGGTGAGACCTGCCCTTTCAGAACAAAACGGCAGTCAAAGTGTAAGGATCTCTCAACCTTTGCTTCCTAAAGTGAATTTGATAACAAATCCCTAGCTGGGAGGGAAGTTTGTTGCTGTTGTTGTTAGCATGTAACATGAGCCCTCAGGTGGCCTCAGCACGGAATCTGAATGTGTCCATTTTCTGTAACACAAGGAAGCCAGTTTTATTACACAATCACCATACTTTCTGCCAGCAAGCTACTTCCAAAATGCATGTGTTTGAAAAACATGATTCTCTGTGTGGTGGTGAAACCAGGTCCCCCTAAAAGTGAATTCCTCTGCCAAGTGTATGGTTAAACTGCTTAGAACGTTATCCTCTTTCTTATCCCCTGTTCCCCTCAGGATTGAGGAGCATCAAAGAAAAGGGGAAACTGAATCCAAGCAGGACCCTGTGGGGCCCTCCCTGGTACAAAAGCCCCTCTGTGTCTCCCCATTTCTTGTTTGTAGAGAAAAGCGTTAGTCTCCTAAGCTTTCCCTGAGTTCCAAAGAGCAGACTCAAGCAGTTACTAATGAGGGAAGTGAAGGAGTGCAGAAACAAAGGAAAAGTAGTCAAGAAACTATAGTTCCATGATAAAACAGAGCTCTGGTTCCTTCTCGAGGGTTATCGATAATAATGTGACACAGATCTTTGAGTTGTTTTGCAGGAAGTAAGACCCAGGTGGAGGACAGTGACTACATGCTGAGCAGAAGCACACAGACCCCGGACTGGGTGGGATCAGAAGACTGATGTTTACAATTTGTGAAACATCATCCTGTTACAACATCACCAACCAATCAGAAGAAAGTCATGGCCCCTGCACCTCACCACAAATGTAGCCTTTATAAGAGCTGCCCAGATAGCTGATGGGAGCTCATGTCTTTTGAGCATGAGCTGCCCATTCTGCTTGCTTGGTGCCTGCAATAAATGCTGTACTTTCCTTCACCACAACCTGGTGTCAGTAAATTGAGTCTGCTGCTCAGTGGGCAAGCGGATTCAAGTTTGACTTGGTAAACATGGGGACCAAGAGCACCCCTCCCCCAGGTTCTTGGCCATAGGCAGTTTCACTGCACCCTAGCTTAGCAAGGGCTCCTGGAGGACTGCAGTGGAGAAGGCAGAGAGGGGAGCTCCAAGGGGGCCAGGTGTCTTCAGTACCAGAGTGTTTTTATTTTTAA